CCTGGGGGGGGGGGGGGGGGGGGGGTCTGCCTCTCCCCTCCCACCCTCGCGCCGGCCAGCCTGTGGCGGGCTCACCTGGGACATCTGTGGACGCAGGTTGACTTCTCGCAGGTTGATGGCGTGGGGAAGCAGGTTGTTGAGCAGCTGGCAGAGCAGGACGCCATCCCGGAGGGCCTGAGCCAGCTCGCACACCTGGGCCCCATCCCAGGTCACGCGGTGGCTGGGCGGCAGGACCCGGCACTGGATCAGCCAGTGGGTGCACTGGCGCCACAGCTCCATGGCCGCTGCCTTCCCGGGCCGGGCCGCGCACCCTCGCCGCCTCCTCCGCCCGCCCGCCCGCCTGTGCTATCTAGCTACCACTTCCTCTTCTTTGCCTGTAACTGTCGCCCTGAGAGGGGGTGGAGGAGGAGGAGCCGTGGGGTCGGGGGCGGATGGGGGCGGGGGAGCACCTGCAGCCCAGCCCCGCCCAGCCCCTTTCAAGCAGGACCCCGCCTCTCTTTCCCCCAAAACTGAACACCTGGGCACCCAGGAGTGAGGTCAGTGTAACCAGACTGAGACCTGCTGCCTTCCTCTACATCCAACCCCAGAGCAGTACCGCCTCCGAAAAAGACCCAAAATCCGCCTTCTTCCCACCCCTCCCTCCTCTGCCTCCACCCTAGTCCGCCACGCATCCTTGCTAGCCTGGCCTAGTAGGTCTCCTTCCGCTGTCGGTCCCCAGGCTCCTGTTCTCAGCCCCCGCAGCCTGGACTCCCCCATCAGAGCGCACCTGTGAACGCCTAAGTCATCTTGTTCCAAAGCCCCCTTCATTGGGGTCGAAGTCCTCCCTGCAGCCCGCAAGGCTCTGTACGTTATACCCTCATCCCTGCTCTTACCTCCTCCACTCTCCCACTCGTTCACTCTGCTCCGGCCACACGGGTTCCCTCAGTGTTTCTCCAGCCCACTAGGTCACCCCAGAATCCTGCCCTAGAATCCTGCCACAGGGCCTTTGCACATTATCTCCCTCCGCCTGAGGCGACTTCGCTCCGCTAGCTCCCTCACCTTCTTCGACTTTGCTCTCCTGATGTCTTCCCAAAACTTTCCATTTCAAATCACAGCCTTTATCCCCACTCCATCACACCCTACCCAACTTCCCCACATCTAGCCCTGATCACTGTCTGACAAATCTATTTTATTATACTGATTTCCTTATTGTGTATTTAGAAATTTGTGTCTCTTTTGTTGGACTCCACCCTCAGCACCTGGCACATATGCATGCTTCGTAAATATTTGTTGAATGAATGAATGAATGAATGAATGAATGAATGACTAGTTGAAACTCTATTGGCTCTACCTCTGACAGTTATCCCAAATCTATTCATTTATCCCCGTGTCCCTGGCCACCATCATCTTTTTCCTTATAGACTTCAAAAGTGTCATTTTCATTTAGCAAATGTTTACTCTCTTCGTAGCCCTTATCATTACCTGAAATCATCTGGTCTAGGAGGTCTCTCTCTCCCCACTTCCACCCACAGTCTTCCCTACCCCCTCCACCTCAGAAGGCACCCCTGCCTTGGATTTTCTTCTTTAATTATTGTAGCCACTTGGGGGCGCTAGACCCCTTCACTGGTCATACCCACTACACTACCAAAACCAGGCCGGAGTGGGTCAAGGAAAACACACCTGTCAGACTCCTGAACTTGAAGTCTCTTCCACGTTGACAGGAGGGAAATTCCCAGGCTGGAAATTCCCATATTTACGATCCCACAGGCACCAAAATTTTCATCCCCAAGCATTCGTGGCTCCCTGTGAGTCAATTTCCTCATCGTAAAACAGGTGACAGTAAACTTCACCGTTTAGAATTAATTGTAGGGATCAGAGATCGTGGGATTGCGAAGATGAAAGCCAGGAAGACAGGATAGCGCTCCAGGCCTCCGGGCTTGAATCCCGCCTCGACCACTGACAAGCCTGTTAACTTGGAGGAAAGGCTTAGCTTCCCCGTGCCTCAGATTCTGCCCCTAGAAAGTGGAGGTGATGAAAATAGTACCCATCTCACTGCAAGGTCTACGTAAAAATGGTACGTGTGGAGGCAGGTCAAGCAAGCAGAACAGTCCTGGCATACAGTAAGAGCTTAATGAATGATAGTTACAGCTACTGCTTTCGATTCTGTTGTTGTTATGAGCCCCGTCAATAAACTTGGCTTGAGCGTCCTCTTTCTGGTTCCAGATCCCACACCCAGCCCCGACCACCACCTGTCTCATGCTTGTCTCCAGGCAACACGATGGAAGCCCCCTCTCCTCCTTCCCCTCACCTAGGAAACCACCTGAAAGTTTACCACCCCCACCATGTCCTAACTCAACTCCAAAGTTCAGTTGCCGGGAGAGGCTGTCGTGCTTTCCCGCATCTCTCTCCACAAAACCCGACACCCGCATGGGGTTCCTTCCCGGAAACCCAGGGGGGCGGTCTGGAGGAAGCGCACCCCATCACGTCACAGCCCGCCACCACTCCCGGCCGGGGGAGAGAGCCGGTAGGGACCGCCCTGCCCCTGCCGGGAACACTGATAGGCTAGGAGAGAAGCATCTTTTCTCCCGTCCCAAGAGGCTATGGGTGCTTAGGGCCAGCCCGAGACCCTAATGAGAATGAATCTAGGGGCCCGGTTCTAAGCGGCAGGACTGAAAGAGGGGCGGGGAGATGTGTGGGCGTGGTCACTCGGAGGAGGGTGGGGCAGGGTTCTAAGGGGGCGGAACCCACTAAGGAACGGAGTTCCCAAGGGGGCGTGGTTTATGGGGAAGCGAGTTATATCTGAAGGGGGGCGTGGTTAGCGCAAAGACCCGTACTAACCGTACTAAGCGCGAACAAGGCGGCGAGCCCCGAGCCCCGGAGGTTATAGCTGGAGAAGAGGTGAGGCCTGACGGGGCAGGGCTTTAAGGGGCGGGGCCAGGTGATGGGGCTCGGTTCCCTCTGGGCGCGGCGGGTAAACGCTGGACTTGGCTGGGGCGGGGAGGGAGGGGCCGCGAGCCGCAGAGCCTCTGGCTTCCGCCCCGCCCCAGGTTCTTGGGAACTCCGCGGGTCCCGGCCTAGGTGAGTGAGGGACCCCAGACGGATTCAGGACCAAGAGTTCATTGAGGTAGGGAGTTCTCTCTTTCCCAGGTGCGGCCACCAGCTCCCGGGGAGGATCTGGGTGTCTGTCCACGCGCGTCCGCGAACGTAGACGGGGTCGCCTGATTGGCTCGCTATGCATTACGCGTGTCCGTGTACCTGGGCGTACTTGCACCTCTAAGCGTGTTTCCTGTGCAACAAGGAAAGCTTGCTTCCACTTTTGCCTGAGCGCTCTTTTTAAACCAGATCGTGCCCCTCCCTCACTTAAAACCCTTCCGGAGCTGCCTTTCCAGCCCACTGAGATGAAAATTCGGGATCACCAGTTTCTGCCTGGTCTCATCCCCGCCGACCTCCTTGCTCTCCACTTAGCTCCTGGCTCGCAGGAGCCAGCCACTTCGGCCTCCCTGATGATGTAAACTGTAAAAAGCCAGCTCCAGACCTTTACACTTGCTGTACCCCACAACCTAGACTGCTTTCTCCAAATCTTTGCATAATTGTCTTGCCTTTATTACATCTCCCTGTTTTATCACCTTCATTGTTTACCCTTAGACATTATCTTTTTCTTAGACATTATATTCTTCATTCACTGTGTGCTTGTGCTGTGTGTCTCGCCCACCAGCCAGGCCTTGGTCTCATTCATCACTGTTTCTCCAGGGTCTAGAACAGGGCCTGGCTCACAACCAGTCAGCGTTGGCTCACGTTTGAGTCCCCGTGTCCATCTGTGTCCATGTGTCTGTGTGCAGGTGGCACCCCATCGATAGAGCATAAATAATCCCCTCCCTCCTTCCCCCAAGCTGGCCTCTCACTCACCGCCCTCTCCTGACTCTGCCACCTTCCTCTCTCCCCTGCTCAGATGTCCAGAAATGATTGCAAAGGACGCAAAGCAGGAGGATGACTTAGTTGGGTCATGGGTGACCTGTGCCCATTCCGAGCTCCCTGCCTTCCCCCTGGAACTAACCAGAGCCTTGTCAGTGACCCACCTCCACAGCCACTCAGGGGCCCATAAGACAGAGGACGCTGGAGTTGGGGGACTCTTTAGACAAAGGCCAGACATGGCTCAGCTGACAAACAGGAAGTGCACGGGCATCTAGGAGACACACCTGGCGTTCAGGTATGTGGCGCCTGGAGCCAGCACTCTGCTCAGCTCCCCACCCCTGCAGCAACCTGGGGCCAGCCTGAAACTGCCTGCCCCTTTCAGGGCCTGGGCCAGCTGACTCAGGTTGTAGGAATCCTGGTGCGATTTCCCTACAGAACCCGCCAGGTCCAGAAGAGCTTGGGAGTGGAGGAGGCCAGCAGACACCTGCGTCCCTTGAATCCAGGGCAGATTTCCCCGCCAGACGCTTGAGACACCCAGGGCCTGAGAACTGCATGGTGATCAAGGGAGTCCTAAAGTGTCTGAGACCTAAATCTGACCATAATAATCACAACAAAATGTAGCAGCTCCATAACATAAAGATCTACAAGTGCCTACTCACTGTTTGCCAGCACCTACAAAAATGTGACCTTTGAATGCCCTTAAAAAATGGCTTTAGTTTGGAAGCCACATACGGGTTGGATTTGCGTCCCACCTAAGAATACTTGAGTGTGCCCATAGATTGCTAAGATGCTGTAGATTTTAGTCAATTAAATCCCACCCTTCCCCCTCCAGCCAGAAATTCCTTTCACCCCAAGAACTACCTGGCTTGCTTTCTCAAAATCCTCCAAATCTTTACTGACTGAGACCTTCCCATTGTCACCCACTGGAAAATCTTAACTCCACCACTCAGATCTTCCTAATCCCATCCCTGGTGCCATTTGTCTGCTTAGGTCTCTCTGACCTATCCTATACTCCCTCACCTACTAAGGGCAGGGATCCCAGTCTGCTTTGCTCACTACGAGGTCTTAGTGCCTAGAATGGTGCCTGGCACACAGTGGGAGCCCCATAAATATTGGTTTGAGTGGATTCAATAATTAAATTTCTCCGAAACATAGCAATACATCATCTGCATGCAAATTGCATTACATTGACAGAGGGAGGGTATAGCTCAGTGGTAGAGCACGGGCTTAGCATGCATGAGGTCCTGGATTCAATCCCCAGTACTCCATTAAAAATAAAAATAAAGGAGGGGATATAGCTCAAGTGGTAGAGCGCATGCCTAGCATGCACAAGATCCTGTGTTCAATCCCCAGTACCTCCTCTAAAAATAAATAAATAAATGAACCTAATTACTCTCCCCCCCCCAAAAATTGCATCCCACTGAAAGCAATGTGCAGGTCTTCAGCTTTTGCAAGAATCCCAGTGAATGTATAACTGTTTCTGTGAAATCACAGCCTATTCTAAATTAAAGTTACTCATAGCCTGATTTTAATCTGATATATATATATATATAATTCTGCCTATGAGTAATTTCTTTAATTTAAAAATATGTATCTGTGAAAAAATAAATAAAATAAAATAAATATTTGTATATATACACATACAAAGAGAGTTGCATTTTAAGGTTTGGTAGGGTGCCGGTTACTGTCTTCAAAACTACAAGGGGAGTTTAGGGGAGTTTGTAATTCTAAGTGAAGTAAGCCAGAAAGAGAAAGAAAAATAGCAAATACCATATCATGTCACTCATGTGGAATCTTAAAAAAAAAAAAAGACACAAATGAACTTATTTACAAAACAGAAACACTCGCAGACACAGAAAACAAACTCAGGGTTACCAGGGGGAAAGGTATTGGGAAAGGATAAACTGGGAGTTTGAGATTTGCAGATAGTAACTATTATATGTAAAATAGATAAACGTTGAGTTTCTACTGTAGCGCACAGGGAAATATACTCAATATCTTACAGTAATCTATAATGAAAAAGAATATGTAAATGAATATAGTTTTGTACATGTATGACTGAAACATTATGTTGTACACCAGTAATTGACACCACATTGTAAACTGACTAAACTTCAATAAATTTTTTAAAATAAAAATAAAAAATAACTGATATCGTACATTCAAAAACAAACAAAACAAAACAAACAAAAAACTATGAGGAACATGGTGGGGGCTGACCCAGCCACTCAGGAAGCAAGAGTAATTATTCCCATTTTTCAGATGAGGAAGACTGAGGCCCACTGGAAGCACAGAGCACAGCCCTTGCACCCTCTGCCCCCAAGTGCTCCATGCAGGTGCCACAGGATGGAGAGGACATTGCTGCCCAACCCTGGTACCACGGACCCCTGTCCCGCCAGGTACCGCTGCCCCCTGCAGGGCCTCAGGACCATCTGATGGGGAGTTTCTCCCACCTTTGACTTACTGGGGACTCCTGGGTCCCAGATAAGGGACTTACAGTCCAAGTCTATGGGAAGAGGGGGCTGGGGGGCTGGGGACTATCTTGAAGCTTCACATGTGTGGCATGTCACTTCTTATATTTAAGTTATCACTTCCTTTGGGATGCTGTTGAGGATGGGGACAGAGATTAAAAAGGGTCCTAATGACCCCTCAAACCACCCCGTGGCTCAGTCTCTCTCTCTGGATCCCAGGCACCTGTGACTACCAGGGCCCCATCTGCCTCTCAACCCAAGGCTCCTCACCCTCAAATCCAACTGATGTATCACCTTCAGGAGTCCCAGGACCCTGAGCATCCAATCAAATCGTGAGAAGCAGTGTAGCTTAGAGGTTAAAATCCCAACTTTAGTGCCAGACATCCTGGGTTCAAACCCTAGCCCTATGACTTACATTGGGTATGAACTAGGGCAAGGTATTTGAAGTCTCTGGACCTTGGTTTGCCCATCTGTAAAATGGGCATAATGAGCCCTACCTCTTAACCTTGGTAAAGGGTGAAGTGAGTTGATACGTTTTACACCTAAAACTGTGTCTGGCATATTATAAAGACTGTGGCCCTCAGCCCCTATTTTCACACCAGCCACCATTGCTGGCAGAAGATTGCTGGAGCCTTTTTATAAAGGCGGACTTCTAGGTCACAGTCTGTTTGGAAGGATCCAGCTAATAGCTTTTCTTGAAGCCACGTTTGCATCACAAGCCCAGTGCATGTCCTCAGGTTGGAAGTCTCATGAGTCAGTGTCAACTAGTGGCTGCAACAAACATTCTCAAGATGTTACTAGCCAAACTCGATCACCATTTAAGGGCTAGTTCATGTCACAGTCCAAGGTTGTTGAGGAGTGGGGATGGAAAGCTCCAAAGTGTGTCAGACCCAAGCCCTTTCCATCTTGTGGCTCCACCATCCTCCGGGGCTCTGGGGACATCGGTAGACCTATAGGGGATAGAGCCTGTAGGATTGTGCAGGAGGGTTTTACGAGCCAGGTCTGGACATCCCCCAGAGCACTTCTCATACCATAGCCAGATCTTGTCACAGGATGACCCTAACTGCAAGAGAGCCTGGGAGATGTAGTCCAGAGGCATGCCCATGAGGAAAGGGGAAATGGTTTGCCACAAAGCTGCTCAGTCTCTGGGTTGGCTTTTCTTGGGTGGGTGGGTGGTGATGGGGAGTCGCCATTAACTGCTGATACGGGCTCATGCTTCAAACCCCATGCCCCTACCTCCTACCCCCAGAAGGCTGAGGCCCTTCTCCAGCAAGATGGTGACTTCTTAGTTCGTGCATCTGGGTCCCGTGGGGGCCACCCCGTGATCTCCTGCCGCTGGCGGGGCTCAGCCCTACACTTCGAAGTGCTCCGTGTGGCCCTGCGTCCCCGGCCAGGCCGGCCCACAGCCCTCTTTCAGCTGGAGGATGAGCGTTTCCCAAGCCTACCTGCCCTGGTTCACAGCTACGTGACTGGCCAGCGTCCACTGTCCCAGCTCACAGGGGCTGTGGCCTCCAGGCCGGTGACACGACAAGGACATATTCGACGCAGTTTTAGTGAGGACACCCTTCCAGACAGCCCAGCTCGGACAGAGCTGCTCAGGTACTCAGTCATAGGCTCCCTATCTCCCGGACGACACCCAACACCCCAGGGTGTTCCCCTTAAGCATTATGCACTATTGACATCTGAGGCCAGATTACTCTTGGTTGTGAAGGGCTGTTCTGTGCATTGTAGGATGTTGAGCAGCATCCCTGGCCTCCACCCACTAGATGCCAGCAGCATCCTCTTTACCCCACCTCCCAGTTGTAACAACCAAAAAATGTCTCCTGATATTGTCAAGTGTTCCCTGGGGGGGATCACATACCCTGGTTGGGATCCACTGGTCCTGAGTGACTGGATGTAGGGTTTTCTGGGCATTGGTGGGGGCTGCTCTGCTTGGAGTAGGACTACACCCCCCTCTATCCCCCCAGGGCTAGGAAGTGGAGTGACAGTCAGCCCGCAGGTTTGGAGCAGGTGGGACGGACAGAAGACCACCCTGGACCAGGTAAGGGTCTATCAGGACAGCACATCACTCAGATTGCTCTGCCATGCACTACCCAAGCGACCTTGGGCAGGTGACTTAACTTCTTTGAAAAAAGGGATGATGATGCTTCAATATTCTCATGGTGATTAAAAACACACAAGAACTTTGGAGGTGCTTAAAAATGTGGGTTTATGATTATTCCAAGATCCTCTGTGCTGACCACGGTTGACTGCTCTAAAAATTCCTCTCACTTCCCCTCTTCACTCATCACACAGTCTTCCTTTCAGTTGCTGGAACTTTCCAAATTTGTTGCTGCCTCAGGGCCTTTGCACTTGCTCTTCTCACCATTGGAAAACCCATTCCCTAACTCATCTAATGTGAGTTCCTCAAAGCAGCTGACCTTGACCGTCTACATAAAGGAAGGGTCCCCTCATTCCCTGACTGCCTTGTCTGCCCTGCCCGACCTCCCCAATTCAACATGAGTCCTCATTGTGTGCCAGGCACTGTACTCAGCACTGAGATACATCAATGAACAAGAAAGGCAGATTCCTGCTTGAGTGGAGCCAACATCCTCCTGTTAGAGGAAGGACCATGAACAACAAAAATAAGTCAATTATGTGAGCTTAGGGGTAAAATTAAAAGCAGAACACAGTAAGGAGTGTGGGGATGGGATTGAGTATTACAATTTTAAGTAGTAGTTAGGAAAGGCTCCACAGAGAAAGATTTGAAGGAGGTGAGGGAGGGAACAATGTAGAAAAGTGGGACTGAGAGTGGCCCAGGTGGCAGGAACAGCCAGTGCAAAGGTCCTGGGGCCAGGACCAGAGTTTGAACTGTTCATTGAAGCAAAAGGAGATGAGTGTAGCAGCAGCAGTGGGAATGAGAGCGAAGTCAGAGAGAGATGAGGCTCAGATGGTGAGGGCTTTGGGCGCTAATGTGAGGACTTGTGGCTCTTATTCAGGGTGAACTGGGAATCATGGGAAGGTTTTAAACCCCTATAACAGGGTAAACTTAAATGCTTCATAAATACAGAGTCTCACCTCAAGTCTGGGTGCAGCTTTAAATTCCAATAACCTCAGAAGTGAATATGTCATGACCTTAACAAAAGTCATCATTCAAAAGTTTATGATAAATTCCATTTCTTTGATCCTTACATAGTTTTATGAATTTTGAATGATTTATTTTTTATTTTAATTGTGTATGGTCAATACTTCCCATCTTCCATCAGAGGAGCAAAAACAAAGAATTCAAATTTAAAATTTGAGGGTATAGCTCAGTGCTTAGAGTACATGCTTAGCATGCACAAGGTCCTGGTTCAATCCCCAGTACCTCCGTTAAAATAACCAACTAAACAAAGAAATTTAATTACCTCCCCCCACACACAAGAAAATAAATAATAAAATAAATAAAATGTACTATTCAGAATTCACATTACTCCACACATATCAGAGAAAGCTAATTTTTAAACCGTCGGTAAGTGCATAGCATTTATGTTGATGAAGTTATTCAAGTTCAAAGCCACACCAGGATGGGTTGGGATACCTGGTTCTTGGCTGAATGAGTGGATCAACCAGGAGGGTGGTTGCCCTTGAAGCACCCCCATCCTACCCAGCTGTCTTCTATGTGTACCTCTCTCACCTCCTCTTGTATGACCCCCCAGGAGCCTCCACCATGCCCACATCTGCCCTACCCCGGACCGGCAGTGACCCCGTGTTACTAAAGACCCCGGTTCCCGTGGGGTCCATTCCTGACAGCCTCAGGGCCTCCGATGGGCAGCTTCACGCCAAGGGACCAACCAAGCCACCTCGAACACCCTCACTGATGCTGCCTGATGCCTCTGGACGCCCCCCTACATACTGTGAGCTGGTGCCCCGAGTGCCCAAGGTCCAGGGAACAGCCCCTGGCCACAGCTGCCCAGAGCCAGAGGTGCCATGGTGGGAGGCTGAGGAGGAGGAGGAAGAGGAGGAGAACGGATGTTTCGCAAGACCACAGGCTGAGGTTTCTTTGAGCCCCCTTGGCAAGCCCTCCTGCCTGCTGGGCCCCCAGAATCGGCCTCTGGAACCCGAGGTCCTGCGTACTCTCCGAGGCCTGTTCCTGGAGCACCATTCGGAGAGTACCGCCCTCCACTTGCTATTGGTGGACTGCCAGGTGGGTTACTTACCGGGTTCTCTCCGCCAGTCACTGTCTGAAGCCAGGGCCAGGCCCAACTCCATCTCACACTCACATACTCACCCTGCTCACTTGCCTTCCCTACTCGTACCCCTGCCCCTCATGGCCAGGCGACAGGCCTCCTGGGAGTGACCAGGGCTCAGCGGCGCGCCATGGGGGTCGCCTCCGGCCTGGAGCTGCTCACGCTTCCCCACGGGCATCGTTTGAGGTTGGAACTGCTGGAGAGGTGAGCCAGCCACCTGGGATCCCCTGGGATCCCCAAACCTCCCACCACCACCACCACCACCACCACCGCCATTCACGCCCCCCATCCAGGGAGGAGGGGCATGAGCAATGCCACCCACTGTCCCGTCTCACCCCACCTTGCAAACCTCTCCACTGCCCCCAGACCCTTGCCCTCCGCCTCTACAGGCACGAGGCGCTGATGTTGGCGGGGGCGCTGGCTGTGCTGGGCTGCGCAGGGCCTCTGGAGGAACGCGCGGCTGCCCTAAAGGGCCTGGTGGAACTGGCCCTGGCGCTGCGGCCAGGGGCAGCGGGGGACCTGCCCGGACTGGCCGCGGTCATGGGCGCCTTGCTCCTGCCCCAGGTGCGTAGGAAGCCCGAGGACGAGGAGGAGCCCGAGTCTGAGTGATGGGGAAGAGTGGAGAGGAAGCGTTCTCAGGTCTGTTCCTTCCTCCAGGTGTCGCGACTGGAACGCACGTGGCGCCAGCTCCGAAGGAGCCACACCGAGGCTGCGCTGGCCTTCGAGCAGGAGCTGAAGCCGCTGATGCGGGCGCTGGATGAGGGAGCCGGTGAGTGGCATCTTTAGATGAGTGGTAACTCTCATCAGAACCCCAGTCCAGTCTTAGGCCCTGCCGGGGTCTTCGGTCCTCGCCCCTGCTTCTCCCCTAGGCTCCGCCCCTTGCCCTAGGCCGGGCCCCTGACTCGGATCCAGCTCTGTGCTAGGCTCTGGCCTCTGGGTCTCGGGCCAAACCCCTCCCCTTGCTTCTGTCCTGGGCTCCACCTTGGCTCTACGTTCAGCCAGATGTTTCGGTCCTAGGCCCCGCCCCTTAAGCAAGGCTCCGCCTTCCTCGCCCTAGTCCTCGCCCTCTGTACGGGACTGGGTCCTGGACTCAATCCCCAGGTCCCGCCCTCACTGTGTCCTGGGCTCCGCCCCTTCCCTAGGCCCCTCCCTTGCCCCCGTCCCGTCCTGGGCTGGGCTCAAGCCTCTATTTGACCCAAACCCCACCCGTTGCTTCTGTCCTAGTGTGCTCTCGGCCCAATGTTTGTCGCACCGTCTTCTCCCTAGGACCCGCCCTCTGCCCTAAGCCCAGCCCAGACCCTTCCCCCAACAGGACCGTGCGACCCTGGCGAGGTGACGCTGCCGCACGTGGCACCCGCGGTGCGCGTGCTGGAGGGCGAGGAACTCCCAGGGCCCTTGGATGAGAGCTGCGAGCGGCTGCTGCGCACCCTGCACGGGGCGCGTCAGATGGCCCAGGACGCGCCCAGATTTCGCGAGACAGCGGCCCGGCGCCTGCGAGGTGAGCGCCGTCTCTGCACCTGGCTGCCAGAGGATGCCGACTTTAGAAACACCCCGTGTGCTCTAACCGGGTGCCCCCAAACCTCTCCAGGCTAGGGACTAGAGCCTCCCATCATGCCTCCCAGAGACCCTCCTAAACTGGGAGGCCCCATCCCGGGGGGTTCTCACCCCATCCCGGGGGTTCTCACCACAAGGACCCTGCAATCTGCGGTGCCGACAGTAAGAGTACCCTCCGCCCCAAAAGTGCGGTCCAGCCCCCCAGAGCCACGCCCACAGGGCCCCACTCGCACTCTCCCACCTCTGGGAAGGCTCTGCCCCCAGAGGACCTCAATTAATGACCAGCTCCCTCCAAAATGACTCGGTCCTTCAACCTGGTAGAACAGAGCCCCCACTGGGGTCGGAGCCACACCTCCCTCCTTGGTCCTGGGGCATCCCAGCCTCCAGAGGCCCCCACCTGGGTCATTGCTGCCTTTGTCTGTGACCTTGGCACTCCTCTCCTTCCAACGTGGCCCCACCTCCCTGCCAACTTGCCACGCAGGGCAGCCCAGACCCCAAATTACACACACACACAGACACACCCGTGGCTCCATCTACAGGCACGACCCCTAAATTGGGGCCCCCAGATCTTCACCTGGAACAGACTGCCCCATGCACCCCAGGAGAGCCCGCTTTCACGGAGCCCCTCAGCCACCTGCACCCGGACCCCTACTCCTACAGAGACCCTGGGGCCCCCTCCTTGCTAACCCTGCCCAGTTATCCAGAGAACCTGGGGCAGAGTCCCTCCTGTCTCGGGCAGGGTCAAAGTCCCTAAGGGGCAAGGCACGTGCCTGGGCCCCGCCCCTAGCCTACCTGGCCCCTCCTCCAGGATTCCGGCCCAACCCGGATCTGAGAGAGGCCCTGACAACCAGTTTCTTGCGGAGGCTTCTCTGGGGGAGCCGAGGGGCTGAGGCACCGCGAGCCACACGTCTGGAGAAGTTCCAGCGCATCCTCAGTGTCCTGTCGCAGCGCCTGGAGCCTGACCATTGAAAGCACAGACCCCCTTCTTCACGCTAGGATACCCAGGCTTCTGGGGATCCCCAACAGGGACCAAGGAAGCCACCCCAGATTCCTCACAAGGCCAGATGCAGTGGGGACATACATCCTGCCTCACAAAAGGGAGGGGACCTGGTTTGCAAGAACCTACCATGCCCTAAAAATGCACATGGATCCTTGGGGACAGAAGCCTCCTCCCCAACGCTAGAAGACCCCTGACGTCTAGAGATTCTGGACCCCCTCTCCCAGCCCCTACGCCTGCATCCCCCCACCACCACCAAATGGTGAAATGTGGCTTTTAATGTTAAAGAGAACTTGAAGATCTATAAGAGACTGGAGTTCAAATACATTTTAAAAGCTGTGTGACTTCCAGCAGATTGCTTGACCTCTCTGTGCCTGCCTTCAACATAAAAAGTGAGACTGTACTTTCCAGGGGTTGTCATGGGGATGAAAGCTCCATGCTTGAATGAGATCATGGGTGGAGCATGCCTGGCACACAGTAGGTATTCAAAAGGTGCTTCCTGTTCCCGGTAAGCTGTGATGAACACCAAAGGGATGTCATCGGGCACCCTCCTCCCTTTTGGCATCAGAGAAGAGGTAGGGTTGGTACAAGGTGTACCCAAGTTCACCTCCCCTTCCTCTCCTGTGTGACCCAGAAGGAGGGTGGTGTTTGATCATCCAGTCCCAATATCCGGATCTCCCATTAAGGCTCAGACAGCAGGAGCTTTCCATAATTTTTTTATATAAAACAAAATGGCCCCAGCCAAGAGGCAGGAAGAAAAGATTTGAAACACGAGTATGTACATCGATGGTGGAAGGCACAGCGGGGTCCATCCGGGGTGAGGAGTGGGGGTGGGGGGCAGCAGGTTACACAGGTCTCAGCCGAAGCCACGGGGGCAGAAATAAAGTGCGTAGGTCCTGGGGCCCCCCACGGCCCAGAAGCAGCAGCCAACAGCCCTCCTCTTCCCGCCTCTGGCAGGGTTCAGTTGAGCGTGACACGGAGGTAGGAGGTGGGCACGTAACCTTCATCTCCCTGTTTCCGCCTGACGCGGGTCCAGCCATCACCTTTGTCCTCTTCCATGAGACTAAGGTCTTCGCCCTCCGCCATGGAGATGGTACCCTCACTGGACCCTGTGACATGGGGTGGTGGTGGGCTCAGGTCTGCTTTAGGTGAATCTAGCAATAAAGACGGCCCCCCAAGCCACTGATGTGCCACGTGGGCTGTCCTTACCTTCAAAGTGGTAGATGGCCACACAGTGACCTATGGGGGATGCAGGTTCCTCCTCAAAATCCTCATCGAACTCTGTGTAGATGGGAGCATCCTGACCCTCCTCTGAGGGGGGTTCTTCAGAGCTGGTTGGAGAGGGCAAAACAGGTGAGGACAGCCCTCCTCCGTCCCGAACCCAGAGTGGACTCAGACTCGCCTCCCTGCTCACCTCTCCTTGTTACGCTGTGATCCGCTGTTGCTGTTGCTGCTGCTGCTGTCTGGGGGGGCGCTGGCTGGGGGGTCTGGAGGCCGAGCATGCCGGCCCAGAGTGTCCCCCCGGTTGCTTAGGACCCGGCTCTCAGCTTCCGCCAGCCAAGTCTGAGAGGAGGGGACCACACGGTCAGTTCCAGGGCAGGGCTCCAGGGTCAGCCCGCTCTGGGCCCGGAAGGTTTCCTGAGATCACCCATGCACACCCAAGGCTGTGATGAGAAACAGCTGGAGTCCCCCCACAACACCTCCCTGTCCCCCCTACCCCCCTCCCGGGAAGTGATTCAGCCAGGCCCGCTGGCCCCCACCCCTCCCCAGGGTCTTCCCTGACCTCATACTTCTGCACTTCCAACTTCAGTCGTTCAATGTTGTTCAGGGTTTCTGTGATCCGGGGTTCCAAGCTGGCTGGGTCCCCCATCTGGGGTGTCTTCTCATACACATCCTTCATTTTCTTCAGGGCTTCCCTAGGACAAAGCAGACAAGGGAGAAAGAATCCCATGTGATTTAACAAGCCAAAAACCATGGGCTTGGCTCCCAGGAGCTCAGCCAGGGCTTTCTAGCCTGGCTTCCAATCCCACTGTGGGCCATTTCTGAGTTGTGTGAGTTTGAGTTAAGTTACTGAAACTTTGTCTCAGGATGCTTGTCTTAAAAAATGAGAATATATCTGTATATCTCGTAGGAGCTGTTATAAAGATTAGAACAGTGCCCTTAGTTATTCAGATGTATATTGAGTGACTACTGTGTGCCAAGTACCCATTCTAGGCATTAGAGACACCGTCCTAACAGGTCAATCATGATCCTACCTCTGCTCAAAAGTTCTTAGGAAAACAGGAATCCTAATGATGCAAGAAAGATGTTTGGAATAGTGCCTGGCACACAATAACCTTCTATAGATGCTAGGTGTTATTGCCACTCGTCCCTAGGCCGGATCTTCTCCGTGTCTACATAGACAGATAGGAACAACTACAAGCACAGACCTTTGGAGTACGTCAAACCTGGGTTCAGTTTCTTTCCAGTCCTAACACCTCATGCATAGTACAGATGAGAAAACAGAGGTCTGGAAACAGCTAGAATTCAAAGCCAGCCTGTCTCAACTCTAGAGCACTCATCCATAACTCACACCCCATGAAAACTCAGGAACTCTAGAGTTCTAAATAGAACTTTACATCCATAAAAGCTGTTTTGTACAAGAGGTTCTGTGAAAATGGCACAATATAATTTGGCTGCCTGTCTGCAAGTGGCAACCGTCATTCTTATTATGTAAGAGGACTGGGAAGAGAATCTTGTTGCTTGGAAAGAGTGAGTAAAAGATTTTCTTTTTTTTAATCTGGCAGGGTTTTTTTTTATTGTTAGTGTTTTGAGTTATTAAATGAATAACCATATGCTTTTTTTTTCCCCCTTTGAGCTGATTAACATACTGAATCAGACTGGTAGATTTTTAGATATTGAACCATCTTTGCATGACAGCGATAACCTCCGACTTATCATGGTTTTTTTGGTTTGTTTGTTTTGGTCTTTTATTCTTATTTTTTTCTTATGGTAAAATATACCTAATATAAAATTTCCCATTTGAGCTATTTTTAAGTGTACAGTTCCGTGGCATTAAACTAATTTGTGTTGTGCAATCACTAGTACCCACGTGATATATTATTTTTTAATACACCATTGGACTTGCTTGGCTAGGATTTTGCATCTAAGATCATAAGTAAAGGAAAGTAAACCCATCATTTGATTTTCTTGAAGTCTTGCTAGCTCAGTTTTGGAATCAAGATTCCATCTGCCTCCTAAACAGGCTAGCAGCTCTCACTCTTTTTCTGTTTGCTGGAATGACTCGTGTAAGATGGGACATAACTATTTCTCCTAAGTGGGGTAGGAATCACCTATAAACCCATTAGGGCCTAGGGCTTACTGGGGAGATCTTCGAGGACCATTTCAACATAATTCATTTGTAATTTTTGGTTTGTTCCTGACCTGCCCACCACCTCACCTTACCTCTGGTCAACTTCCTTCTGTAGTTCACGGTTCCGTTCTTCCAGCTGCTGCTGAAGCCGCTTTCTCTGCTGCTCTGGGGGCAAGTGGCTGAAATCCTCAGTCACCACTGTCTGCAAGGTGGAAGAGGACTGAGTCTGGGATCACAGAGTCTGAGCTTCCAGGCTCTAAGACACTCCTAAGACACTCCAAGTCCACCTTCCTTCCCACCCAAGGTTCTTGGGGGGCAAGGCCATGCACAGAGCAAAGCAGGTCCAGGTGTGGCAATGGGAGGAGGGGGCCCAGCCAGCGGCAGGAAGCGAGCCCAGGGTCCCGCCTCCCGGCGGCTGGGCGGGCTGGGGCCGCCCCCTCCTCCCCCCCAGAGGCCTCACTTACCCCACGGCTGCCTCGAAGGCTGCGGAAGGATGCTAGCCGGGGTTTGACCGACTTACTGATCTCACTCAGTATGGCCAAGGGGTCGAGGCCGGAGCGGGGGGACGGGGGTCCATTAGGTAATGTTGATGGCAGGGGGCCCCCCAGGGGGGAGAGGGGTGGGGGGCGCGGCTACCGGCGGGGGCCAGGAAGGGCACAGGTCAGGAAGGGGGGGAAGATGTAGTGAACAAGGACGGATGAACGGACGGATGGTGGACGCAATAAAGAAAAAAGGACAAAAAAACCAAATGGAGAAAAGACAAAAAAAAAAAAAGTAAGAAAACCACAACTCAAGATGCACAATCACACACAGAAAATACATGCAAAGAGCAACACAAAAATCTGGGTGGTGGCAGGAGGGCATTAGATTGTGAGCCAGAAGTCCAGACCCGTCCCTCCCCACGGATCTCCCACGTCCCTTGCATCCTATACCTGGTACTTAGAACAGGGGGCTTGGGGGCGCAGGGAGGCCCATGTTTCTGCTCCCCCCTGGCTTTCTGGACTCACAGTCTAGAAGGTGGAGGGAGAGGCATGCAGGAGTCAAGGTCTCAGACAAATATGGGGCCATCAAGGTCAAGGACAAGCTCAGAGAAGAGTCAAAGGCATGAAATACCAGAAGGGTCACAGCTGGGGTTTAAGCTGGGGGATTTCATCTATAAACTGAAAAGAGGTATCAAAGTATATGTCACGAGGGATCAAAAGTATAAAACAGGAGTCAAAGGTATAAACGAAGTGGGGAGGAGAGTAGTTCAAAGGTATAAGCCAGGGGTGTTCAGGTATGTGCCTGACGTTGAAAGCCAAAAATCCCAGGAAAAAACAGCCTGAGGTTGGGGGGCCCAGAGACCCATCGGAGGATTGGAGAGACTCAGGGCAGGCCCTGGGACTGGTGCCCCAAGCCCTCACCCAGCCCTGAATCCCACAGGCAGGCCTTCGCCCAGCATCCTGAGAAGCAGCAGACAGACGCCACAGGCCCCCCTCCTCGCCACCCGCCCCTCAGCCTCGGGGGACTCCCAGGCCAATCGCCCGGCCGCCTTCCTTCCCTCCAGCCCGGGCCAGCAGCCAAGAGGAAAATTCCTGCCCGGGACTCAGCGTTCCGGCAGCTGGGGCTGACTCAGTGGGGGCCCCTGCTGTCCCCTCTCACATTTATCCCCTCCACCCCAAGGGCCCCGGCCCCCACCTTGTTCTTCTTGCCGAAGGGCCAGCGCTTAGCACGGCTGCGGCCCGGGCCTCGGAGCTCGGGCCGTCCATCTGAGGGGGTGCCCAGGCTGCTATCTGAGGGCGCTCGGTTCATGGGCTGGCTGAAGTCTTCAAATTCCACGTCGCCCGGGCGGGCAAAGCCAGATTTGTGCAGTTCAATGAGGACCTGGGAGTCCTGTGGGAGTGGGTGGGAGAGGGCAGTCAGGGGCAAGACTGGGTGTCCAGCCTTCCAGCTCCTCCTCCTTCTGCCCACCA